TAATAATAACGAAGAGCCAAATTGCTCAATATAATTTTCAAATTTTGTATACCAAAGGTTCACCTTAAGTTACACTATTTTTCAAAATTTACTCTGAAGGATCATGATTAATTTTCTCAGAATTGAATTGAAAAAAAAAAAAAATTAAAAGTAGTAGCAGAACCCTTATGCTTTACCATTCATACCATTCAAATAACCTAAGGAGATCAAAAATTGGACGTAAAATGAGAGAGCTTTGAACAAAACACATTTGCATGTTCATCATCCGGAAGAACTTTGCCGCATGTACAACTTTGACGATGACAGCTACTTCCTGACCTTAAGCTATAGCATATACAAATATTTTACATGCACACTAGCGCCACATACCGAAAATATTCTGAACTATTTACTGTTCACCAGTAAAAAAGTTTTGATCTCCTAAACAACTGTGCCGATCACTGTAATTTTCTAGCTGTTCGGGATCTGGAGCTGTAGCATATATGAGGATTGCACGTGTATACTAGCGCAGCGCAGTGAGAAAAAAATGGAACTACTGTTCACTAGCCAAAAGACCTTGACCTCCTGAACAACTTTGCACAAGACAGTAACTTTTTATTTGGTCAGGATCTCGAGATATTTTATACGTGAAAATTTCACGTGTATACTAGCGCCACGGGGTGAGAAAATTCTGAAACATTGTGCACCAAAAAATAGACTTTAACCTCCTGAACAACTTTGTTTACGACAGTAACTTTCTATCTGGTCAGGATCTCGAGATATATCATAGGCGAAAATTTTACATTTCACTAACACTACGTTTGAACAACTATCCACGAACAAAAATTTTGTGATTTCCTGAACAACTTTGCCGACGACAGTAATTTTCTTTCTAGTCAAGAACTTGAGATAGTTTATATGCGAGAATTCCACATGTATACTAGCACCATGGAGTAAGAATTCTGAACTACTGTCCACCAGCCAAAAGACCTTGACCACCTGAACAACTTTGTCGTAGACAGTAACTTTCTATCTAATCAGGGTCTTGAGATATAACATATGCGAGAAGTTTACATGTATACTAACGCCACGTGGTGAGAAAATTCTTAACTACTGTTTACCAGCCAAAAAGTCTTGACCCCCTAAACAACTTTGCCGAAGACAGCAACTTTCTAGCTGATCAAGATCTCGAGCTATTGAACATGCGAGAAAAGCACGTATATACTAGTGCCGCATAGTGAGAAAATTCTAAACTATTGTCACCCAACAAAAAGATCTTGATTTTCTGAAAAACTTTGCCGAATACATTTACTTTCTATCTGGTCGGGATCTAGATATATTTTATATGCAAGAGTTTCACATGTATAGTAACGCCGCAAAGTGAGAAAACTCTGAACTACTGTCCACCTGCGAAAAAGCCTTGACCTCCTGAACAACTATGCCGAAGACAGTACCTTTCTATCTGGTTGGGCACTCGAGATATTTTTTTATGAAAATTTCACGTGTATACTAGCGTCGCGTAGTGAGCAAATTCTGAACTATTGGGCACCAAGCAATAGACTTTGACCTCCTGAAAAACTTTGTGAAAGACAGTAACTTTCTAGCTGGTCAGGATCTCGAGATATATCACATGCGAGAATTTCACATGTATACTAGCGCTACGTAGTGAGAAAATTCTAAACTACTGTCCGCCAGTGACAAGCACGATCTCCTGAACAACTTTATCGGAGACAGTAACTTTCTATCTGGTCAGGATCTCGATATATTCCATGTTATAATCAATTAAGTCAAATCCCACGTAGTATGGTCACAGTTTATGCGGTTTCCATTTTCATTTTCCCTATTATCCGCATTTTTTAGGTGTTTACTGTAATCAAAGTTTAGCTTGTTTAGATCAAAACAAGTTTTTTGAGGAATACTCGTTGGTTTCAGATCGATTAGTAACTCAGCAACAAAATGGCAATGGAAAACTCATGTGTGTTGTACAAAGTACAACAGCGCGAGTAACGGAGGGTTAAAGTTTGTTTGTTTATAAGCATGCAACATGAAGAGCACCTTCATATAATGAAAGATGAAATTATGTCCAACCTAATTTACGATGGGCATATAATAGAAATTGATTCTGTACTGATTCGAATATTTATTTATGCGTGATTGAAAAAGGGCACCATACAATGCTGCAATATTCCAGTATTGGCCTCACATAGGCAATATACAGGGTGATTCGAAGTAACTGTCACATGTTTGCAATTCTCAATGGGTTTTAACAGGGTGGGTACCCCCCCCCTCCTTCTACAGTGCCTCAGGGTTGCATACGCGTTCTAATATTTGACCAAGAAAACATTCGAATACCTTACACACCACAACAAACTCGCGAGTGTTCACTCGGCTGTCGACAGAAGCAAACCACTCTCGCTGTGTGTCACGCGATCGTCTGTTTACTCGGCAGCAATAATTGTGTGGTCCTCCTCATTGTCTTCATCAGCAGTTCATTCGGTCGATGCGTCGTCGACTTTGGAAAGCAACCGTTTCGTGATGAGTGTGTGAGCGATGACCACGTTTTGCGTCCATTGCTGCTATGGAAGCGCTCCGCCCCCCGTTGGCGATACTGCCACTTGGTTTCATTCACTGGAAGCGGATCCCGTTTTGACGGAGGAGGCTTATTGGATAGCGGAAGATAAAGTGTTTATTGTGTTGTACCTTTTGACTATAGTTTTAAGATGTTTTGTATAGTGAACAAGAATGCTCGGCTCCAAGGAATCAAAAATATCTCCAAATGACAAAATGATAAGCGATAAACGAACCGAATGATATCGCTATGCCAGAAGTGGAAAGCAATAATGATATAATCTTCTTCATTTTTTTTTCATGACACAGCTCACGCAGGGAAGAAACGAGTAAATTGTTGGCAAGCTGCTTCGCGAAGCAAAGCCGAAGATGATACACGTGTGTTAATAAGAATTTTTATGTTATATCTTTTTTCGATTCAGATCATGCTATGTCCTCATCCGTGTATATTGCAACAAAGCAGGCAAGCAATATATCATTATCCTTCTACCACTCCGATCGAGCTGTGTTGCAGTGAGAGTTTGTCGTGGTAGTCGTAGCAAGGGTTTTGCCTGTATCGTTGGTTGCTTTATGTGTTTGAATTCGCTGCTCGGCTCTGTAAAGTTGATTCGATTGAGCCTTATCAAATAAATTAATGATAAAAAAAACAAACTCCTACTTTATTCCGTTTTACCTACAGGTATTTACGTTTTATTTTCCAACTTTCTTACCACTTCCTTACTCACTAGCTCCTACCTCACTTCACCTATCGTTTTTACTTACACGGATGGGTATTCTCGTGGCGACTACCGTTTGGAGTGCTCCCGGATGGTGTCTATGACTACGGTTTTAGTCATTCGGGGTTTACCGGTAAGTAGTTTATAGTGGTATACTACGGGATCCTAGACGTCCTTTCGTTTCTGCTCCTTCCACTATTCTTCTCTTTTACGCACTTTTAGTTTGATATGGATAATTGAAACCACGTTGAAGCTCTACCTACAGACTTCAGTAAGGCATTTGATCGCATTGACATACCTTTGCTACTCTTTAAATTGGGAATTGAGTCAGGACTTCTCAAATGGCTCGTTTCATACCTAACTAATCGTCAACAAATGATTAGATACAAAGGGAAGAAATCGAATCCCATTCAAGTCACTTCCCGCAAGGCTCTCATTTAGACCCCTTTTGTTCATAATATTTGTAAATGACATATTATTCATTCTTAAAAACATAAAAGTTTTAATTTATGCCAACGACATGAAGCTCTTTCTAGAAATAAGGAACAAGGAAGACATCAGGACGTTCCAGAATGAAATACACATGTTTTATATTTTGTGCAACAAAAGCCTTTTACAACTGAACGTAAAACAATGTAATTCAATAACTATTAGTAGAAAACGAAGCACACCAGATATTACAATCTTTTAAGGAAATCAGCCGGCGAAAAGTGTGAAAGTGTTAGGGATTTAGGAGTAATCATAGATTCCAAACTAACATTCAGTGATCATTATAATACAATATGCTTGTCTTATTTGCTTTATTATACTACAACATGCTTGGCTTTATTAAACGATTTTGCTATAATTTTCATGATCAGTACACAATAAAAACACTGAACATTGCCTATAGGAGTTCAATACTGGAATACTGCAGCATAGTTTGGTCACGTTATTCAATAACGCACGAGGAATGAATAGAATCGGTACAAAAGCAATTCTTATTGTTTGCACTTCGTAAATCAGGTTGGACAAGATTACCTCTTCCGTCTTATGAAGCACGGTGCATGGTCATCAACATTTAAACATTAAAAGAGCGTCGTGAATTTGCAACGGTCTCATTTGTAAACGATATCGTTTCGCATCGTATTGATTCAGAAGAACTCTATTGACTTTACAATGACAAAAACCAAACTAAAACACCACTTCAATTAATTCGTAATTTTATCACGTAACATTACAATATTATTAAGGCAAAGGCTGCTTTATTTTATTTTTTTTAACTAGTATTGTCCGCGCAGGTGGGGGAAAGGTCATAGAATCGTTTCTGAAAGCCTTTTGCTTTAGCGTTTGCTTCACTGCAATTATTTTATTTCATTAGATTAGATTATAATAATTTTCATTTTACTCACAAATTTGGTGATTCTTTGTAGCAAGGGGCCTCTCCCTGCGCTTTAAGTTTTAGGTTAGCTTCTAGGTCCTAGGAGTTTAGAATTAGTTTCGTTTTAAGTTTAGATTTAATAGTTTGAACCTTTTACCTCCTTTACTAGATTTTAATAAACTCCAGCACTCCCTAATATAATAATATAATAAAGTAATATAACAGCAAAATAATTTTAACTGTAGCGGTAAGGAACACTACCGACCACGCCGCGAACTTTTATCCAAAAGGAAATATTCTTCTCCGTTTCACTGTCACTGCCGTTGACAGCTCGAGCCACCAGCGTTGACGTCTGTCAATATTTTTGCAGCGGCGCTTTAACAGCCTTTGGAAACGTTGGTTGACAGGGTGGGCAGCTCATCGAATCCTGCATCGACAGTCTCCCCCGGGTGTAGTCCGGTGTTCTCCGGAACTTCACGTTTCTCCTTCACATCGAGTAGTGCCAGCCTTGTCACCGGCCGCACTGGAGTTTTTCCACCAATCTTTACCACTGCTCTTCGCTTCCGGCCATCCGAATTCGGGTTTAATTGGTGCTGCAGTACTCGGTCCGCCCCTTGGAAATTCGTTCCATTGTCGCTGAAGAACTCGGCTGGTGGCCCCCGGCGACCCACGAATCTGCGGACGCAGGAAATGCATGATTCCGTTGATAGTGAGTAGGCAACTTCTAAATGGACAGCGCGCACCGTAAGACAGGTGAACAGCGCGATCCACCGTTTGACGTTGGATCTTCCCAGCTTCACCACAGCGGTCCGAAATAGTCCACTCCAGTATAAGTGAATGGTCGTTCGTGGTGCGCTAGACGTGCAGCCGGAAGTGGTGCCATCGGCGGAATCGTTGGTCGTGCTCGACGAATCTTGCAGAAGGCGCAATCGCGTTTCACTTGTTTGACCACCAATCGAAGTCTAGGGATTGTGTATAGCTGCCGGATCTCGTAAACCACCGTTTCGTCGTTCCCATGGTGATAATAGCGATGGTATCGGTTCACTAAGAGTTCCGTGACGCGATGCTTCCTCGGGAGGATCACCGGATGTCGCACGCCATAGGGAACATGTTCAGCTATCTCGATCCGACCGCGCTCGCGTAGCAATCCGTTACCATTCAGCATTGGCATCAGTTGATAGATGGAGCTTTGCTTCCCGATAAGCTCCTGTCCCGCTTCGTTCGGCGCTTTATTCGACAGTGCGGCAACTTCATCTGGGTAGGATTCATGCTGTACCAACTTAAGGATTGTTTCTTCAGCCGCTCGAAGTTCCGACTGTTGCAACGGCCCGGAGTATTCCGGCCGCTTCTTGGACGTGTTGTGCAGGAATCGAAGAGCGTATGCGGTTGCACGTTGCAGCCTATCCCAGGATGAGAACCGATTGAAGTCTATTGCGGGTTCAAACGATCGGTGGTGCAGAATCGATGCACGCATTTCTTCGTTAGTAGCGGTCACTGGTTCCTTAATACGGGGCCACTCTTTTTCCGGCAATCGTAGAAAGTTGGGTCCTTGAAACCAACTGCTGTCGTGATCGAAGTACGGGCCACTTCCCCATTTCGTCGCTTCATCCGCTGGATTGGATTTTGACGGTACCCACCGCCACTGAGCTGCCGTTGAATGTTCCAGGATCTCGCCTACCCGATAGGAGACGAACTGTCGATAGTTACGCGGATCAGCTTTAATCCAGGCTAGCGCTGTTCTTGAATCCGTCCAGTACGTGGTCTTGGATACGGGAACGTTGTGGTTTTCTATGACGAATTTCGACCACCGTGCGCCCAAGACACATGCCTGTAGTTCCAGCCGGGGAATAGACCAAGGTTTCAGAGGAGCGACCTTGGCGGCGATTAGGCAACCCTGCGGATCGCCGTCTTCGTTGAATGTGCGTAGATAGACCGCACAAGAATACGCCACCTCGCTTGCGTCGACGAACACATGGACTTCAGAATTCTGGTAGGTCCTCCGAGTAGCACTAGGGAAGTAACATCTTGGGATTCGGATCTCGGCTATGTATTCGATCATCTGTATCCACCTCTGCCATTTCTTGTAGACCTCATCACTGACTTGTTCGTCCCACTCCGTACCCTCTCGCCATAGGTCCTGAATCAGAACCTTTCCGTGGATGATGAACGGCGAAAGCAACCCCAACGGATCAAATAGGGTCATCACACATCGCAGCACCTGTCTCTTCGTCGGCCTCGTAGTTGTGCGTATCAGCGTTTGCACCTCTTCGCTCATCTGTGTAGAGAAACTCAGTTCATCGGTTGACGGACTCCAAAGCATACCGATCAGGTCCAGCTCCTTATCGGCATCGTGTTGGACTACGCCTAGTCTGTTGAGCACCGTGCTGCTGTTCGACCGCCAGTTATGAAGCTTGAATCCTCCGTTGCCGTGAACGTAGCGCACATCGCTTGCCACCTTTGCTGCTTCCTCCACGGAGCTAAAGCTCGCCAGATAATCGTCGACGTAGTGGTCGTGAATGATCGCTTTTGCCGCTTCGGGGTAGGCTTCGGAATGTTCCTCGGCGTTGCGGTTTTTCACGAATTGTGCTGATGCTGGCGAGCAGGTGCTCCCGAATGTTGCAACATCCATCACGTACACCGTTGGATTGTCGGATGGATTAGTGCGCCATAAAAATAGTTGAGAAATCTTGTCTTCTTCTCGGATTCGGAGTTGGTGGAACATCTCCTGAACATTCGAACTTACTGCCACCCCATACTGACGGAAGCGGAATAGGACCCTTGGTAGAGAAGATAGTTGATCCGGGCCTTTGAGTAGTGCACTATTCAGAGATACACCATCTACTTTAGCGGCCGCATCCCAGATGATACGGACCTTCCCCGGTTTCTTGGGGTTCATGACTGCTCCTACTGGTAGGTACCACGTTCTCCTTGGGTCGGCTGCTTCCATTTCCGCTTTCGTCGCCTTATGTGCATAGCCCTTCACTTCGTATTCGCGTATTTGTCGATGTAGATTCTCCTTCAGCTCCGGGTCACGATCCATCCGTCGTTCAAGGCAATTCTAGTCGACGCAGTGCCATCGTATACCTGTTCGGGAATTCCACTTGGTCTCAAATTAATCCCGTCTCAAAACGGTCCGCAACTCGTCGAGTTGTAGTTTCCATGATGGTCACCGCTCGTTGATCATCCTTCGTCAACGGAGTTTCCACTAGACCCGTTCCAGTGTTCTCAATATCGAAAAAATCTTTCACCGTCTCGTGCAGCTTCTCGTCACAGGCGCATTCTCCAACGTGGAAGTTGTACGATTCACGATTGTTGCTTCCTCGAGGACCATAGACGCACCAGCCTAGCCTTGTTTTAGCAGCCACCGGCGCACGGGTACACTTTCACCGCTTCTTCGGCCTGGAAGCTTTGGACGGGAAGACTGAGATTGTTGACGGTCCTCGCGTTCACCAACTTGTGGCGTTTGCTCTGCCCATTTCCAGCGATCTCGATAGTGATCCGTCGCGATTCCTTCTCCAATCGCGAAGTATCGCCAGTCCACCGAAGACATAGAGGATGAGGCGTCCCCTTCACGCCCAGCGCAGTAGCCAGGTCGTGTTCCACTAGTGTCAGGTCAGAACCCTCATCGAGGAAGGCGAAAGTTTCAATTGACCCACTACGACCGTGGAGTATCACGGGAATGATACGGAAGAGTTTCGATGACATTGCGTAATGGTGGTTATGGTTATCGGCTACCTGAACTCTCGGCGTCGGTGCCGACAACTTCGGTGGTCCTCTTTGGGAGTGGAGGAGAGGATGGTGGCGAAACTGGCAGCCTTCAATGTCGCATGTCTTTCGTCCTCGACACGCACGACGTCCATGGTTAAACAGGCAGTTCTGGCACAGCAACAGCGCACGAACTCTTCTCCAGCGATCGTCGATGTCCAATTTCTTGAAGACTTCACAATCGCGCACTCGATGCCCACTTTTGTTACAGTTCAGGCAGTCGAATTGTTTGGGTGATTCCTTCGATTCGCTCGATGAAACTCCGGAACTCCCCGCGCTTTCCACTGCATGGGCGTTCACGAACCCCTTGCTCTTCGGACGGTCGCGAGCACTGCCCCTTTTACCTTCTGGCTCAAAGGTCACCACACTTGTCACATCCTGTACCACTGACGCCATATAGTCACCGAAGGTTTTTAGATCGACGTGATCGAATCCCCGCTTGTATCCCGCCCACATCATTCGTTGGTCCGCGGGAAGTTTAGTAACGAGTTCCTGCAAAAGAGACGGGTTCGACAGGTGAGCGCGTTCATTCGCCGCTTCAATGTGGTCGCATAAGGCCTGCACCGCCATCCCGAAGTCGATGAGTCCTTCCAACCTGTCGGACTTTGGAGCTGGGATTTCCCGCACCTTGCTCAGCAGAGAATTTACCAGCAGTTCCGGTCGTCCAAACCGCATACGAAGAGTCTCGATCACCTGGGACACCGCTGCTGGCAATACCAACCGACTGCGCACAGTTTCCAGCGCCGGTCCAGTCAAACATCGTTGGAGGCGAAGCATATTCTCTCCATCCGAAAAACCGCAAGCTTCAGTCGTGTAGCGATAATTCGAAATGAAGATCGGCCAGTCCGCAGGGTCACCGGAGAATCGAGGAAGTTCCTTAGCCAGGGACTGCCTTGCTGCTAGCTGCTGCTGTGTGGGAGCACCGTGTTGCACTGGAGAAGGAATCGCTTGGTATCTTCGTGTACTTTCTGACTGACGAGGGGGCTGAGACGACTCAACCGTACGTGGGGGAGGTTCACGCGTTTGCTCTCCGATTGAGTGTTGTTCGGATTGACAATTATCTCGAGTCAAGGTTTTCGAGGCATTCGGGCGCGCGAGGGATTCTCGCAGCTGCTCGTGAAAATTTGAGGGAGCATATTAAGTTCTCCCGGGCGCGCGTCAATTCGCAGCTGCTCACGGGTTGTTTCGTAATCATTGGTCGTGGGGCAATGGTAGGAAGGGGATACGTTCATATGATTCAAGGCTTGACGCTTACCTGGGGGTTCGACGTGGTTCGGACGCATTTCAGCGTTTGGTTGACTTACCGAAGGCAAACTGGGTTGGCTTACCGGATCCCTCAATTGCCAGAGAGGGTTCTGCAGACTAGTATTTGCTTCCGGTACCGATTCCAACGTCTGGCTCGCCTTAGGAATGGCGCCGGTCTGCTTCTCCATTCACGGCTCGTTTGTTGTCGTCGCTTGCTTTGGTAGTCGTCGTCCTACCGGATCGCTTGCATCCGACCGTTGAGCTTGTCCGCTTGCTTCTTCACCGGACTGGAACTCTTCCAGAAGGGTTCTGCACACCTCCATCTGTACACGTAACGCTGACAGTTGCTCAGGTGTTGGTTTGGCGCGCTTTTCGCACTGCTCAACACGGTTCCTGAGTTCCAAAAGGGCGGTTAGTGGATGCTCCTTTTCCTGTTGAGACCTTGAAGCGGATGGCTCCAGCACTGCAGTCGAACCCATCGGTGGTACGGTAGTTCTGGGTGTACCCAACAGTGGTGTTGATCGACGAACAGACGAAGCTAAGGGAGCCCCGGGGGTAGGTGGAGTTGGAAGGCGCATACGTTGGGCGGGCGGCGCCACTTTAATGTTCGCACCACTGGATGAAACGCCACCACAATGGCTGCCTGCTATGTCTCCTCCTAGCACGTTGTCAATGAGCTGTTGCTGCTCGTCAAGATGACGACGTTGTAGCGCTAGCTCTGCACGAGCTCTTTCGGCTTGTTGCCTTTCCACCAGCTGGCTCAGGCAAACCGAAAACGCTGACGTTGTGCTGGAGCGACTAGATCCGCTTCGAAGGGAGGCGATGTCATCCTTCTGCTGGGTAATGCAGTTGCTACATACCCACGCCCGGTCCGCGACACTATCATTCACTCCGGCGCACGTGTAATGGTCGTTGACAACTTACGCAACTGGACTCCTCGTCCATTACCGGTCCGATGGCTCTCGCTAACCTCGATTCGTCCATTTCGATCGAGTTCACTTGCAACAGCAAATTTTGAAGTTTGTCCGCGCAGGTGGGGGAAAGGTCATAGAATCGTTTCTGAAAGCCTTTTGCTTTAGCGTTTGCTTCACTGCAATTATTTTATTTCATTAGATTAGATTATAATAATTTTCATTTTACTCACAAATTTGGTGATTCTTTGTAGCGTGGGGCCTCTCCCTGCGCTTTAAGTTTTAGGTTAGCTTCTAGGTCCTAGGAGTTTAGAATTAGTTTCGTTTTAAGTTAAGATTTAATAGTTTGAACCTTTTACCTCCTTTACTAGATTTTAATAAACTCCAGCACTCCCTAATATAATAATATAATAAAGTAATATAACAGCAAAATAATTTTAACTGTAGCGGTAAGGAACACTACCGACCACGCCGCGAACTTTTATCCAAAAGGAAATATTCTTCCCCGTTTCACTGTCACTGCCGTTGACAGCTCGAGCCACCAGCGTTGACGTCTGTCAATATTTTTGCAGCGGCGCTTTAACAGCCTTTGGAAACGTCGGTTGACAGGGTGGGCAGCTCATCGAATCCTGCATCGACAAGTATGTTTATTTGGAAGGCTCAATCGCGTTAGCTTTACGGAGCCGATAGTTCATTGTTCTTTGTTTGTAACAAAATTCACTTAATTTTATATCTAGTAGGAGTTGGGCCGAATACTCGCGGCTTACTCGAGGTTAGAGAGGTACATTGTCGAAGGATAGGATCAGGGGAGGAGCTTGGGAGTAAGGTTTCGTTGTCTCATCAGAGCGTTGTCACCAGTGTGGTTCTAGTTTCGTCTGGAGTTCGACCGGCTATGGTGGGTGACCAGTGGGCGACGATGAGACTCATCGAGACGTGGGGACAAGACAAACAAAAACTAATAAAGAGAGATAAAAGACAAACGAATTAAATTCTCATACTAGACATTTGAAGAAACACATAAACCGACTGCATATATCAGATATCGCGAGTTCCCAACACGTCTCTGATAGGAACATAGGATTGTCTTCCTTGGGCCTCAAGGGTATTCAAAAGTCGCTCTCTGGCGGCGTAATTATCCGTACATTGCCAAACTGCGTGATCGATGTCATCGTAACCGTTTCCACACCGACAGATGTTGCTGTCCACGAGGTTTATTCTATTGAGATGAGCATCTAGCGTGTAGGGGTTGGACATAAGTCTACTCATCACGCGAATGAAGTCACGACTTAAGTCCAAGCCTTTAAACCACGCTCTCGAAGAAACATTAGGAATAATTGAATGTAACCACCGTCCAAGATTTCCATTGTCCCAATCGGTTTGCCAACTTGAAAGGGTACTCTGACGTACTAAATGGTAAAATTCATCTTGTGAAATTTTCCTGTCATAAAATTCGCCTTCCTGCGCGCCCACCTTTGCGAGAGAGAGTCCGCCTGCTCATTGCCTGGGATTGAGCAATGTGAGGGGACCCATACAAAGGTAATCATATATGATCTTTCGACCAGCACACTCATCTGCTCCCTTACCTTTGAAAGGAAATAAGATTAGTGCCTACCTTGTTTCATCGACCGAATAGCCTCGATCTAGAGTCGGTGTATAATGAGTCACGCCAAGAGTGAAGCCAAGTCTACCTATTGGACTGTCAAACTGGCTACCTATCGTGCAAAGTAAACAAGCATTACGATGCTATGAAAGGTCCACGAAAGGTATCGCAATAAAATATAACATATAATCGAAGAAATGATCATAAACACGCAGTGAGCATTAAATTGTCATGGGATACGTTTGGTAACGATCAGTAATGACAATTTCTACTATTTTTTGTTAAGATGATCGGACAAAATCACTGATAGAATGATTTACAACAGCCGCTATTTTTTTTTTGCTCGATAGAAGTCATTTGAAGTTGATGTAGCAGTCCTCTTTTGCCAAGTGAAAAGAAAGGGAATCTTTCGAAAACCGTGATGCGAGTTCAACTGTTTTTCTCTTGGCGTGACTATGGCGTGATTATACACCGACTCTACCTCGATCGAACTGAGACTATCCAAGAAGATGAAGTAAT